CTCATGGCCATTTGGAGCTGCGACGAGGGGGGGTTAAAATAACTTACTCGATGGTTCCTCCCTCGATAGGATTTACCCACTTGCCGCCAATGAAGGCCCAGCAGCGGTTGTCGGTGAAGAAAGTAAAACAATTTTAGTAAATGTATTTGAAGGCCAACCGAGCTCCGAAAAGGTGTGCGAAGAAGGAAGCCAAGAACATGAGCGCATACATACTCACCCGACGAATGGGGCATCTGACGATTTGATATACCCAGTTCTCAGCTATAACTCCCGCTCAGACCATATACCGTAGCTCTACGATTGCTACATAGTTGTCGCGTATAGTTTCGGCATTCACGCGAGAAGAGATATTCAACCGCGAAATCTATCCAGCTGAATGTTGAAGTGGCTCTTGACAGGGCAAACTACTTACACGGAAAGATTCTCTATATCATACTTCACTCCCCATCCCTCAAGCACTTCTAGTTGACGTGTAATATCCTCCAGATTTACCTCCCCTCTCACATCGATATCCTCGTCATAAGGCAAATCGTCAATCTCGTAGCCGTCTTTCTCATCGAGGCAGAGTCTACCATATTTCAACCCTCCAGCTCCCCCTCCGGCAGCGCGCCGTTTCAGCACCCGGAGAAAATGGTGAACCAAATCGTAATGAAGCCTCTCGTCTCCTGTGATGTGGAACGTACGAAGATCAATGGAAATCCTTTCCAAGGCAGGGGCAACCTCCTCTCCCATGAGCATATCGCAAATCGAATAGAACGTTGACCCGAATACATCCTCATAGATCGCTAAATTGAATTTGAGATCAAGTTCTCTCATCTCTGGCGAGAGACTGAACACCTCTTTGAACATCCCTGAGAGCTCCGCAGGGCGCTCCCACTCGCCGTCGTCGTTGTGCAACCGGATAAAGTGTAGATAGGGAGCCGAGAGCTTGAACCGTTTTAGGCTGGACCCAGATCTACGTAGGAAGGACGGTAGGACGAGTAATCGAGATGGGGAATCAGGGTCGAGCTCCGCCACATGAGGTATGGAGATCTCAAGGTCAGTCAGAGAGGGAAGTATGAGGTTGTCAAAGTCCCTGAACGGGTCGCTGACCGAAATGGTCTCAATTTGGAGCGTCTGAAGGAGGGGAAATGACAGTAACATAGATGGTGGCGGCGATTCGTCGTCGGAGCCAAGGTGCTGGACCCGGAGCCTCATGGTTGTAAGCATCGGACACGCATTGGATATGGCGGTGAGGTGGTGATATTGTACATGGTCCCAACACTCAATCGTCGTGAGGGTGGGAGGTGGGATGAGAAGCTGCGTGGGCTCCGTCGATAGCCAAGTTAATTTGTTTAGGGTCGAAAGGCGATTCAGTGAAGGGGCTGTGAGTAAGGTCTTCACTTGGTCACTAGGAAACGAAGTCGATGGATCAGGTTGCTCAAAAGGACTGATGATGGTAAGGGATTCGAGTTGAGGAACTGCAAGTTTTCCTTCAAAGTCGAAATTCTCCAAAAGGTCGAGGTACATTTCCACGTCCCACGACATCTCAAATGCGGCCTGAAGGAAATTCCTAACTCTCGGAATGAGATTCTCAAGGCCATCCCTATGCCAAGAGTATCCCATTGAAGTCCGAAGTAACAAGGTTATCGGGCGTCCACTAGACCTAGGGAGGAAGTTTTCGAGTAACGACATCCGTCCCACTGTCAGATGCGACAAATCGATCCACATGCGCGACCAGAGATCCGGAAAGCCAAAGGCAACTTTTCTCCACTGCAAGCATATTTGGGATAAACCGAGAGGAATCGCACGGCAAGGCGTACTGATATCAACTCGGATTGGGGAAAAGGGGGTGTGAAACCCAAAGTACAACTCCTCCGTTCCTTCACCCACGGGAAAGCATACTCGCATAAAGATGTCCCTCCAAATCTCGACAGGAATCCTTCTCGCCGCGGAAAACAGCGACCGTCGTGCGTCTAGCTGGGTTTGTATGCGTCGACGAGCGTCCTCGAGATTCCGAAGAACAGAATTGGCTTGGGCAATTTGGTCGTCATATCTCTGGAGTACTTGGGATTCGGATTCCATGAAATCGAGCTGGAGTGTAGCCTCGGACTGAGAAACGGGCTGAAAGGACCGGAACAAATCAAGTGGTGGGTCTGGATTTATGAACACAACGAATTCATGCTTGCAATTCTGGCAGAGGAGAGTTCTTTGTTCCATTTAAGCAGTTAACCTGAATGCGTTCGCTGTAAGCTAAGAGGTACCTTTTATCAAGTCGGTTGAGCCCATACCACGTTGCGTCTACTCTGGAGACGTGAAGTGAAGGAAAGCACATCGCCAATGTATGGGAGAGTATTTATACACCATGTAAAATCATCAGGCGATCTCCACGTTCCTACACCGCCATGCCGCCGACGCCCTCTCTAAACTGTCAACGGTGTACTCGGTCTGCAAAAGGCAACCAGCTTTGCCAAAAAAACACGACAAACGACAAGCTTAAAGGAAATTCAGTAGTGCACAGAAGTACTATACAAACAGGAAAGCGACAAACTCGAATAATAGATCCACATTCAAATCCAATAAATAGCTCGCCTACACATCCAACTCCACAGCCTCCAGGTACCCCTCGGGAACCAACGCATGTTTCTGACTCTGCGCCGTAGTTTCGCCGTCCGCAGCACCAGAATCCATCAGGACAACAGCCCATCCATCGCCCCCTCGTCCAATGACACGTACGATTTGATCTTCTTGTAGCGCCATCTAAAAGTGTGCGTCAGTGGGGGGAAGGAGAATAATAAAGACAACAGACACACTTCGTCTGCACCCTCGGGCTCGAAATCGAACATTGCCCGATACAGTCCCGATTGTAGTTCACCTGAATTTTGGTCTTCAGGGTAATAGTCATCTGCACGTACGGTGTTCAGCAAAGGGTTGGCCGTCGATTTTTGTGAAAAGGAAGCGGACGAGGGTTATTTTAGACGCGATAGTGGAATGTTGGGGCAACGGTAAAGGGCGGAGGGCATACCTTCGTCGTCGTCGTCGTCGGGTGTGGTCAGAGCACTTCGGTCATTGTCTTCGAAGTTACCCCACCCGCTAACATCTTCATCGTCTTCATCTGAGTCGGAGATGGGCTGTGAAGCGCGGAGCGCACCGTCAGCAACGAATTGGTTATCGTGAAAGCGAGCAAAAGAGAGCATGATAAAAAAACAATGATACCGTGTAACCTCGAGGAAAGGAAAAGCGGAAAGAAAAGAAATTGATACAACACAAAAGCGACCACGGCCTGAAACCAAATATGTGCTCACCACGTCCTCCTCCCAATCGTCCTCACTACACTGGCTACTTGCGACACTACTAATGCTCCCGACACTTCCTCTAGCACGTTTGGTTTCCTCTCGCTTCTTCTTCCTCCAGATCCTCCAACCCTGTTCACCGAGCAACTTTCGATTCAATAACCTTACCCGATTCGGCTTCGGCACGTCCTCGCCCAGACCCAGTGCACGGGGATCACTGATGCTAACTCGGAAGGCGTAGTCACGAATTTGAATAGATCGACGAGCCGACGATGTGGGGTCTATCATGCCCGGGGTCGGTGTCTCGGGGGCGGTGGGAGTGAGAGGGAGCAAACTACCCCTCTTCTCCAGTGAATTAGGTCTTGAAGTCGCCGCAGGTATAGACGACAGAGCTGTACTGGTCCTACGCGATACAGCAGGGCTCGGTGGTGCTGGTCTGCTACTTGTTAAGCTCAAACGGTTGGAGAGTGATGATGGTGTTGATAGGCGGTTCGATTTAGGCATGGTTTGTAGGGAGTTTCGCGAGTTGAAAGATGTAGCCGAAGAATCGGTGGTTGATGGCGGCGTTGAGAAATGCCTCTGCTGAGGCATACCAAGAGGAGTACTGGTTTTTTGGGGGTCACTGGCCATTTCCTGGTCTTCGCGAGCCGCTCGTTACAACTCTATTGTTGTCAGTTAACTCATCTTGTTGGTGGGAGCGACACGTACAATGCGCAGTGACTTTTCCCACTCTATTCTTCCCTCTTTCAACTTTCCTTTCCAGCGCGTGCGTCTTTGTGATCCTCTTTACAGCCATGAATAACCGCCATGTTAGTGGTAAAATCGAAACCATGCAGACTCAAAGAACATACTGGACTACTATGACTCTCCTTCTCGCTTCTTTAGGCTAAAGAGAGGCGACGAACGTGTTAGTGTCCACTCGGAGGCCTCAAAATCACTACCACCTACTTATTCTAACTATTCGAACCTCACGGAGTTGGAGTTGTTATTTCGAGTCCTTCCTACCTTTCTTCGTCGATTTCTGACATATAAAACATCCGTTAGAGTTTATTGAAAGTCGAGATTCCATATCAACGTACCAAAATTCCACGATAATTGTTAACAACAACTATCTAGTCTTCCAGTTGCTTCGTTTAGAACGATTTCATCGCCTGACAACGAAGCTCTGAGTACGGTAAGAGAGGTTACGTCAGGCCAGAAGTGATGAACTTACCTAGTGCTGGCAATATTCGAGATTAGTTGATGGTGGATCAAGATGGTGGTTTGGGTCAAGGGTCAATGAGATGAAACGTGTTATCATGTCACACCAGACGTATTCGGTAGTAACAGTTGCGGCGGCTTCGGTCCGGAGGTTTCGGCAACTGCCGTTATGCCTGGTTCGCGTGAAAACCCTCGAAGAATCGCTACCTTAACTGACTATCGGAGTATAGAACTTGAGAGTGGGTTATTATTATACATACAATGCTCAGAAACAGCTGCAGCTCCCAAGTTCTTGAGATTGAGTTTCGATCCTAAACAATTGCTCAAAGGCTTGCGGTGGATAGGCTCTAAAGCTAGCCGCTGATTGTCGAGGTCCAGTCTCACTGAAGGAGACAAACCCACACGAGGTAATACGTGTTTGCTAGGTACATAGTACATTCTGGAAGACTCAAGTAACGGAAGTCGATTACTTAATTGTCGGCCTCAACTTGAGCCCAACCTAAAAACAAACGTTCGTTTCCAGCAACTGGGCCTGACCGGGAATTGAACCCGGGACCTCCTCGAAATGCGGTGCAGCAGGGAACACCCTAACAAGGAATCATACTACTAGACCATCAGGCCGCTTACAGGTAGACTTCTGGGACTCTCCTTGGTCAATGGGCTGACTTTGGTTTGAAGGAACCATGGCAGTGGAGGTTTTGATCCTCCGAGTCGGTAGAAGTCTTTGTATTCGTTTGAGTTGGGACTTTCAAGGCATCCGCGACGGACATAAACACGTTTTCTGCTTTTCCGTGAGTCGCCTGAGCCTATTTATTCTTCCACTTCCTCGATTTAACGCCGATATCTTCAGTTCCTTAGTATTGGTGACCAGCCGTTCGGTACCTAGTTGCACCACTCTGGATCGCATTGGCTCCCTTGCACTTGTATGGATCACTGACCCCTCGCTGTCAATAGTCCCACAGGGCTGCCGGCTCACCAATCCATTTACAGGTACTATCAGGGAACCAAGAGTCGGGGAACGACACCGGAGATCCAACTTTCTCCACCGTCGATTTGACTTAGGAGACCCATGCACATGTGTAATACAATAGAGTGAACTCATCTTCTGGAAGCTCGATCTGTGAGTGCTCCACGACTCGAGACCACTTCTCGTCTGCTTGTTTCCCCTCAGAATCTGACTCCTGGTCACTGACTAACTGGATGCCAAAGAGGTATCAATCATACTAAGTCGTCGATAGAATGAATGAATCCCTGAACACTCTGATTGAATGAATGGATGTATCACAATACTGTTCGGATCTCCATTGCAGGATGTCCTAAATATATCAATACGTCAGCCAGTATGGGTGTTTCGACTTTTGGGGTGCCGCGACTCCGTCTGAAGTCGGTATATAAGCACCCGAGCATCTAGCACCGACCACTCCTTTCCGTAATGAATGCCCAACTGGTTGCCTCCTGTGAGTTGGTTTTTGTTATCGTCAGCAGTAGAGAGTGCAAAGCTAACGCACTCCGCTCAGGTCTAGGGCTCGTGCTCACGGGGGCTGATTGGTGTATATGTTGGAAAGATGAAAAAAGAATTATATGGAGGTGAGCATCTGCTTTGCGTGCTTTAGTGAGCGTAGCTTATATTAAACACTCCAAAGGTCGCCATTCAAGATAACCACTGCAAGCTGTCTGTATATAGTGATGAACTATCTCTCGCTTTTAGTCCATGTGTGAGTCTGTCGGGCTTCTACATGGTTGGAACCACAGAACTCAGGTTGTACTAGGACCGATATCGCGATTACATCCTTCTCTCGAATCAAGTACTACCTTGGTGCAGTCTCGTATGACGTTTGCATTGTTCACTTTGTGTTCAAGGCGGCTGTCGGGTGTACTTTGGGATCCCTGCTACACTCAATCCTTATGCTTCGGGGTAAGCACTTCCTCTAGTTGCGGTTGATCAACACCAGGCTGAATGATCTCGATCGAAGTTTATGCTCTCTACGCCAAGAGCCGATACATGGCCGCATTCCTGATCCTAACCTTCGCTGGGAGATCGGCGTTGATGATTTGGGTATTTCCTAAGTTCAACGACTTGCCGGAGTATATGAGTCCATTCAGCCACGTATGCGTCATAACACTACAATTCCGAGTGCGCGACCGAGTGTTATTGTGAGTACTCGGCTCAGGAAGAAGCACTCGAGGTTCTGACCAGGCATTTTCGACAATTAAAGGTTCACGGAATTAACTCTTCATGCTGTTTGGTGCGGGTTGATTCTTATGAAGACGTGGAGCTTGAGGGGCGTATGGTCGTTATATCCCACACAAAACTTGAGCCCGGTGTTGAACCGTGACGCGCTCCTCGTCTTCGGGGCGGTTCATGGTATGTTTGTGTTTGGAATACAGAAGCCAAGTAAACCAAAGGTCAAGATTCTTGGTAGGACTATTTGTGGTCGGCGTGGTTGGAAAATTCAAAGCTACCGCGACCGAGAGTATTATGGTCTGTATTTTCCCGTGAGTCGCCTGGGCGTATCGAATAATTCACCGCTCTTGACTGAACGCCAAACTCTTATCAGCGCTTTAGTCTCGGTGATCTGTCGATCGGTAAGTACATCAGTTGCCGCGCCACTCTTTTGGCTGGATCTCTAGTTTCACATCTGTAACACGGAGCTCTCACCGTTGCCTGTCTTACAGGGCTGTCGGGTTATCATTCATTTACAGAGACTATCAGTGATTGAAGACTCTGGAAAAGACTCAGAAGACCCAATTTGCTTCTCTACCGTCGATTGGACTTGGGATACCCGTACCTGTTCCACGTAACTACACTTTATCTTCGGTATAATTCAATTCAACAAACTCATCTTTTGGATGTTCGTTCTCCGGGTGTTCGATGACTCGAAAAATTAGGTTTCATCCGCTTATCAAGTATGGCTCGGAAGCACGAGAAAACCAAGATTTTCAATTCCCTGTAAGATTGTTTATGTCTATCTTGGTTGGGACGTTCATGGGCAAAGGCGAGACATCGTTACATTCTGTTCATTTCCACGAGTCGCCTAAGCCTATTCTCTTTCCCGCTTTCTTAATTCAACGCCGAGCGTTGAGTTCATTAGTCTGAGCGAGTAGCTGCTTGGTACGGCACCAATCTGGATCGTATTGGCTCGTCGACTGTTATACAGGGCTCGTCATTCATTTGCAGTGACCATCAGGCACCGAAGAGCCGGAAAAAGACTCCGGAGATCCCAGCTTTCTCCACTGCCGATTCGACTTAGAATGCTCGTACTACTCGCTATCGTTATTACTAAGCAGATGGGTATCCATTCTCCGAGTGTTCGATAACTCGGGATTGTGGTCCTGGATGGGTCTCCCGACTCTTCGGCTTCCGGTCCGGATTCAGTATATAACTTGCACCTGAATCTTTAGGACATTCGAAAGGTCATTATTCCGCGATGAATGCCCAAATGCTTGCTTGCTGTGAGTCGACATCTATTGTTTTCAGCAGTAGGAAGTGTAGGGCTGACAGGCTCCGTTCAGGCCTGGCGCCCATGCTTACAGGCGTCGATTGTTGTATGTGTTGGAACGACGAGAAAAGAATCATATGGAAGTGGGTCTCTGCTTTGTGTCTCCCTTGGTGATCCTAGCTTATGCTACTATCCGCCCTACAGGTCACCATTCAAGATTACCGTTGCGAATTGTTTATATCTTGGGATGAATTATGTTTCGCTTTTGGTTCATGTGTAATTCCGTTGGCCTCGCGCACCACTTTAACCACGAAAAGTAGGCCTCTTAGGACGGATCTTGCGATTACATTCTTCTCTCGGATCAAGTACTACAATGATGCAGTGCCATATGAAGTTTGTGTCGTTCAATATGTGTTCAGAGCGGTTGTCGCGTGCATTTTGTGTACGCTGCTGCACTCGATCATGATGCTTCGGGGTGAGCATATCTCCCAGATCCCCACAACAACCTGACTAAAGGATTCCTATTGAAGTTTATGCTCTCTACACCAGGAATCGATACATGGTTGGATTTCTGATCCTCGCTTTTGTTGGGAGGGTGGTGGCACTGATTTGGACGTTTCCTAAATCCAACGAGTTGTCGGAGTACAGGAGCCCGTTCAACTATGTGTGCATCCCAAACATACACTTCCGTGTGTGGCACCTAGTATTCATGTGGGTACTTGGCTTGAAAGAAAGTGTTCAAGGTTTTAACCAGGGATTTTCGAAACACAAAGGTTTGTGGAAATAGCTCTTCATGCCATTTGGTTTGGACTTACCCTGATGAAGACCTGGAGATTGAGGGATGTGTGGGCGCTGTACCCCATGCAGAACCTAAGACCTGTGCTGAACCGTGATGTGCTCCTTGTCTTCGGAGCGATTTATGATGCCTTATGTTTGCAATGTGTATAAGAGTCTTGGAAACTAACAGTTGCAATTTTCGATAGGACTAAATACGGTCCACCTGGTAGGTACTTTCAAAACGACGGCGACCGAGATAGTTATCAGCTGTATCTTCCCGTGAGTCGCCTGGGCATTGGCGCCTCCACCATTTGTCTCGGCTGACCGCCAACGCCTTTTTAGTGCACTGGTCTCAGTGACCTGTCGTTCGGTGAGTAGTAGGGAGCTGCTATTGTATCACCGAACCCTCGCTGTCAACTGTCCTGCAGGGCTGTCGGGTCGTCATTCATTTGCAGAGACTATCCAGAATCAAGGAGTCAGGAGAAGATTTAGGAGACACAGCTTGCTTCTCAACCGTTGATTGGACTTGGGATACCCGTACCTGCTCCATGTAACTATACTAGCCTTGGATGTATATTTTCCGAGTGTTCGATGATTTGAATGAAAATGTAGCTTCTCGTTCGCTTATTGCTATTTCGAGTTGCGCTATAATCTTGCTCTACTCGTATGTCAGGAGCCTGCCAGTGAACTTCAGACTCATAGTCCACGGTGGCACAGCCTTTCTTTGCCTTTGATGTATGATTATCACTTGTCACTGTCCCCGCCATCCCTCGAAGCTACTGACAACGAGGCAAAGACAGAAGAGGTTAATATGCATATGCCAATGCCATAAAAAGTCCTACAGAGAGGGCGGTGGCTCTGGTCAATGGAACTTGCCGAGTTGCCGCCATCACTACGGCTTCTTAGGCGCCACTACTGTCCCACGACCCTGGTGGGGAGGCGCCAGTGCACCCCTTGTGTAAAACGGACCTCGAAAACGGCCATATGATAGATCTCTTACCTTGAAGGCATGACGAAGACAAACTAGGGACCGTCACCAAGCCATACGCCGTATACTATCAGGAGTCGTGATCACTTATCCTGCCGTAGCACGCTGAACGGGCACGACAAAATTTACATTTGTCGAATCAGATGGCTTCTGTAACGTGGCTGGGAGCACCAAGAGGAGAGGTTGAATTTTAGGTATGACTCCAATATCTACTTACCAACAACGGCACCTCTTATATTATATTATATATACAATAAACTTCAACAACCCATATCCTGTTTTCTAGAACCTGTTCGGAGCCACTTCCGAGCTCCCGATAGTCGAGGGACGGTTCTGACAGAGTTAGGAGCGGTTATCAGTGCCAAATTCAAGCAGTGAGTACGATGAATCATTCACCTTATAGCTATCTACTGGGG